TGTTCCCCCTCCCCCCCCCCCCCCCCCCAAGGTATGACGTTGGCGAAACGCACGGTTGGGTACCGACTACTGTACATTTGTTTTTAACTGTATACTTGTGTCGATGGTAAAACTTGGTGTGGTATTTTTACAACAGCAAGTGTCCTGAAATTTTTTTATTTTTATTTTTAGTGTTCTGTCTGACGACAGGTCCATCTGAACAGGATCCTTCCATCCTTTTTCTCGGACTGGGACCTGTTCATATACGTTCTTGGCAGATGATCCATAAGTGGTTTGCCATTGCCTTCTTCTGTGTGTGAATGGAGTAATTGTTGGGATGCCACGGAGGAAAACTCCGTGTTGCCTAGACCACGGCCTTGCCCAACACAAGTTATAAATTCGGGCACCCCGGAAATCGAACCCGAGACCCCAGGATTACAAGGCCAGCGTTGTAACCGCTAGACCACCTCATCTTATTATTATTTAGTGTTCTGTCTGACGACAGGTCCATATGAACAGGATCCTTCCATCCTTTTCTCGGACTGGGACCTGTTCATATACGTTCTTGGCAGAGATGATCAGAAGTTGTTTGCCATTGCCTTCTTCTGTGTGTGAATGGAGTAATTGTTGGGATGCCACGGAGGAAAACTCCGTGTTGCCTAGACCACGGCCTTGCCCAACACAAGATATTATATCTGCGAAAAACGAAAATCATACGCGGAGGACAATTCAAAAATTACATTCTTGTCTACAAGAAATAAGATCCACACTAAAATGTTGTAAACTGCTATAGATTGGACAAAAATCTGAAGAAATGTAAAAAAAAAAAAATATACACATCTAAAATCCGCTGTGTAAGACCAACTGAAGGGTCGGAAGCTAACAGATAGGAACACAAATCGATAAAGGATCGATAAAATTCGAAGAAGCCGGTACGAATCCACGAAATGTTACTTCAAAAAAAGTTTACAATGAAACGTTATGCTGTCTGACGACCTCCTCACGAATCATTAAAATCCAAATGGGAGAGATTTCCCAGCTGGGGTGGACTAATTGGATTTGTCGGTTCTTTAAATTTTCTGCTTTCGTTATTAGCTTCTATATGTATAATCTTGGCCGCCTTCCACCTATGCGACGACCTTCTTCATAAGCACGCAAAGCCAACCTGGATTCTTCCATCTAGCCCATTTTAATCCGTAAGCCAAGTGGACTGCCCGTTTCTCTGACATTCACAACTGCCTAATATTCTGGACTTCATTCTATGGTTTAGTTCTTATAAACATGCTCTTAGCCACTGATGATACATCAACAGTACCCATTCAGGGTCAAATATTGTCTTATGTTCATCACTTCTTTGGAATATTATTGTTTTTTTTATTATTAAGACTGTACCAGTCCTCTATTGACGTAAGAATAGTGGTTAGGATTAATGCATATAAAGCGGCCATTATGTGTGGGCTTTCTATAAAACTTTCAACGTAATATTAACCCCTTCCATTTCCTACAGAAATTTTACATTTCATTGCGATTTCCCGCCTTATTTTGTCAGCATTGCGCAGGCGCAGATCATCAATAACGTGACGTGGCGTTGCGCATCTGGAGTTTAGTTTGGTTCTCGTTTTACCCGTTCTTGCCCAAAGAAACACGTTTTATAGTCTCTCAACAAAATCAAATTGACTGAAGACTTACGCGAAAAAGTGGCAGGAAGTGAAAAATTACGAAAGTCTAAATGACAGAAAGGGGAAACGTGGAATGTAGCCTCGTCAGAGGACATGATTTTCCTCAGGAATTCCTTGTCTTCGTCAAGTTTCTCAAGCATGGTCACTGCATATTCCTTGCAGGCTACTCTTATCATCTGGAGTAATTTCCTGCGTCTCTTGCAACTTGTAAGCATACAAACAAAAAACGTTTTCGTAACACTCAATACACTTTCGAGTGCGGAATGTACAGTCTGAGCCTTTTCCGAGACGAATGAGGTCCGCGGTTGAAGCTCGGAAATCCTGCACATCTTATTAATGGTGCATGGTATTGAAAACGGTACTTTCAGTAGTTAACATGCAAATTCATTATCTTGTTTAACTAATTAGTATACTCCAAGGAACAAAAACGACTCTAATGTATTAATTCTTTAATTTTTGCAAATAAAATTGTTTGCCAAGTCAGATTTGACCACGGAAACTTTAAATGAGAACACCAAAAAGAAACAAATTACGAAAGATTAAAAAAATAACTGCATCAAAGGGCTATGGACGACCAAGCTAAGAACAGTTTTCACCTTCGGTTTGTCGTTACTTTGATACGAGGTGCGATCGGAAAGTTTCAAGACTGCGCGTATAAAAACCCGTACACTTATCTCAGGTATTAAATTCATCCATCACCCTCGAAGTAGTTCCCCTGGGAGTGAACACAACGATCCCAGCGCCGCTGCCAAGCCTGGAAGCATCCCTGGAAATCTTTCTTTGCCAGCCTGTCAAGCACCATCTGCGATCTAACATCTAACCATCCCATCTCTCCTCCCCGAAGCGCTTTCAAGGCGTGTAGTGAGGATAGTAGGTGAATTTCATTTCGCTACGTATCGGACAACAAATATTCCTCAGAGTACAAATTGTAATAATCGTAATTCTCGTTAATATTGAGTACGTGGAATAATTAGACTGCATTAAAGTTCACCTTCATGTAACTCACTACAAGCAAGTGTGAACAGTTTGTACGCAATAAAATTTATGAGTATAGACACCGGAAAACATTTACTGTAGATCAGATTGTTGAAATAGATCTGTCTAAAAGACTTAACAAACTTGAAGATGGCTGTCTTCTGGGTTGTTGGGCCGTGTAGTCCGGTTGTAATTCGCCGACATGGTTACCTCCATCATCAGGGCGATGAGTACCCCCGATGATGGAGGCAGAAAATACCTCTGAAAAGTAGGTAAACTTCTACCAGACTACATTACGCAACAAACTATAAGACAGCCATCTTCAGACTCACCGCCTTGAAAACCTCAAATGCTACTGAAGAAATCTTCTCTTTTAATCCTGCTTTGCGCTATGGATCATATATTTCTTTGCGAGCTTCGTTTTTTACACGTTTCTTTGTTATTTCGCTATCAATATTTTCTTTGAGCTATACTTTATCTGCCCACGGAACACAGTAAGAGAGAATTTTCTTCACGGCAGATACGTATTAGATTCATCTTAATCCGCGATCAATAATCTTTCTTTGTGAGACTAGTAACAAAATTGCGTGGATTTTATATACAAGATATAAGATGTCCCTGCACGCCTTGTGTAACAGATTCTACGTGCGTCCATCTTACAAAACAACCGGACAAAAAGATTGACATATTCCAATATTTCCTAACAGGCGAATTGAAACAGCAGTAACGTCGATTATTTAAGTTTAAGAAGTGAACTTTTTGAATCTTAACCTGAATATTGGCAACCCTGGTACCCAGAACTTGGAAACAATATTTTAATCCACAACGACTTTCAACTTCTGGAATACAGAAACGAACAACACAGGCATGTAGCATATACACGTGAAACCAACACTTTAAGAACACGGTGGTTTTACTCTGACACGCCTGAAAAGTAACCCTCAACGCTCTAAAAATTCCTTTACTACGGTAACACGCCCAGAAACACAAACTTGATTTCAGAATAAATAATGCATGAGTATTACTATGATTATCATTAAAAATTGTGGTTGAGGTGAATAAATAGGCCTATATTACAAAATTAACGCAACGGAGCTTAAAATAGTAACGCTGATGTAAATCCTGTGCAAAAACGAGGATTAAGTTTCTTTCCTGTCCACTAACAAGGGAAAATAATGACACGAACATTTCCCAACACACGACAGTCGAAGCAAGGACATTACTTAAAGACGCAAAGGATTTATAATTGGTATTACGAATAGGTGAAAGAAACTGGAATCTGTACTAACAATAGTTGTAAACAATACACTTCTACCGAATGTTTATAAAATGCACTGTTCCCAATCCTCACAATTCGTTCTCTAAAAATAAATTCACTTACTGACAAGTGGGCATCAGGCAAACCTGTGCGTGCGTGTGTGTGTGTGTAAGAAAAGAGAGAGAGAGAATGCTTTTGAAATAACTCACAAAAGTCTATGTAAACATGAATCCTTAGATGCTTCGTCTGAGTTATGTTCAATTTTATTTCGGTACGAGGAGGATAGAAAAGTGTAAACACGTTTACAATACATTTGTCGTTGCTTTGTGTACAGAACACGTCCCCAAGGCGAAGCAAAGTACTTCAGAAACACTGTATATATGCGCATTACAAATACATGCGTATTTTTCAAGTGATTTAGTTCAAACACTATCTTTCATGGGTCCTGGCAACTTTAATTACACAATTTGGTGAGCTGTAGGCCACATAATAAATAAAAACATCGAATATAAAGTAAATTAGCATCAATATAGTTAATTAGAGGTATGAAACATTAAATATATTCTCATGTATCACTTCAAATGTACCTGATAAAAATTACGTATTTAAATTCTAAAGGAACAACGAAGCTTACGTGTAACGCTATACACCTGAAATTTTTATGGACGTCGTCCTAGTATTATTCTTAACTGGCGTTTTATTTTGTTTTCATAAAACACGTGGTTTTGTAACGTCGAGAAATACGCTAAAAATACTTTCAGTTTAAACTAGAATGAAGGAGGGAATAAAAATAGATTTAAAAAATAATAACAACTTCCTTCACTCGTTGCTGCTTCAAGAAACAAACCGCATAAACCCATCTGACCACAAGAAATTAAGACTCACTCAACGAGAAACTTCAACTGAGGCACTTTAAAACGATGCACAAACGAAAATATGGTAGGTTTCAGGCAACACAATCTGTAAAAAAAAAAGCTTTACTCTTCATCCAACTTCATTTACCAGTCACTAAAAATGACGAGCTTTACTCTTTATCCAATTTCATTTACCAGTCACTAAAAATGACGAAGTTAGTTACTTCTCTCAGAGTGAAAATTCGCCATGCTGATAAAAACCGAACCTTGAACAGAACAATGCTACAGGTAATAAGAATAAGTACATTTCCATCGCATGCCACGTGTTACACTCGATATAGAACATGCGGAACTGCCACGAATACACCACGTATCAGTTTATTATTTACGTAAACACAAGGCGAATCTCGCAAGAAAATATACACACATTTCACTTCACCATCTTCATAAACGCGATATTAGTTGCAGATCACGCCACCCTAATTATAAAGCGCAAGCAGGCGGGTTGTGTGAAACGTAAATTTTCCGTACGTTTTCGTCTGCCAAGTTACAGACACGAGTAAACCCAGAGAGAGAGAGAGACGCCGGTGGCTGTGCTTGGAACTAGACGGGAGAAGCATACGGACTCCAACCTAGGTTTAATTTTGGAACAACCTTTTTTTTCCAAATCGTACACACTCACAAATATAGTCTGTGCTCCACTCACAGTTCACTTCGCAAAAAAGAAATGGCAACATTCAAACTGTAAGGAAATATGACCACGATTTCAGTTCGCAACGAAATCAATCATTGTTACCAACTTTCTAGTTCGTGGAATCAACTGTTAGTGACGTTCAGTGTTGCACACGTCATACCAGAAGATGCAGACGTGGAGGTATAGGACGTTTCAAAATAAACAGAAAACTGTTAATGACTTCATTTCAAAATCATACACGTAACAAAGGTCTCGTTAGTAGAGACTAGAATAGGTATAATAAATTTTGAGCAAAGTAATGTGCACTTTAAACTGTGTCTGAAATTACGAGCATTTTTATTTAATTATCTTAACTCTTCCAGCAAATGATCTGTAGCATTCGGTTGTGAACACGCCCTAATATTGAACAAATTTCAGAAGAACATAAGCAAAATCACTCGTCATTAAAATGTACAAATATGTAACGTTATTTATTCTATCACTTTTCTTGTCTTCAAACGCATTTATAAGAAACCAAAAGTTACTTTCATAATTTAGCTAACGAGTTCAAGTTATAATCATGATTCTGATCAATAAATTCGTAAATTAAAAAATTATAGCTATATTTGTGGGGGGGTTTTTATTTTAGTGTTCTGTCTGACGACAGGTCCATATGAACAGGATCCTTCCATCCTTTTCTCGGACTGGGACCTGTTCATATACGTTCTTGGCAGATGATCCAGAAGTGGGTTGCCATTGCCTTCTTCTGTCTCGGACTGGGACCTGTTCATATACGTTCTTGGCAGATGATCCAGAAGTGGTTTGCCATTGCCTTCTTCTGTGTGTGAATGGAGTAATTGTTGGGATGCCTAGACCATGGCCTTGCCCAACACAAGTTATAAATTCGGGCACCGCCGGGAATCGAACCCGAGACCCCAGGATTACAAGGCCAGCGTTCTAACCGCTAGAGAGAATAATTCAAGTTCGGATAAAATCATACAAGGACCTCTAAAATGTATCTGGTGTATATTCCGGAGCATAAGGAAAATAAGATGTCAACAAATGAAATTACTCAAATCAGATTTAATAAAAATAGTAAGAATTAATAGATGCATACGAAATTTTGGAAAATAAGTGAGTGACAAGAATGGTAAAAAATTAACAGACACTGCGTTTTATAAACAATGGTTCGAAAATAAATACGTAACAAATTTGTATGAAATGAAGGCGCAACAACCTAGAAGACCTTAAACCAAAATGTCGTCCGTAAATCCTCAACATCCATAATTCCTACAGCCTCAATATCCAATGGCTACATATTTTCCATCTATTGTGCCTTATAATTCCCGACGGAGACGTGAATAAGGCACGAGATTCCCATTTAAAAATAATAAGAACCTCGGTACCACGACAACTTCGACGACTATTAATGTTAAATTCTTCATTCAAAAGCACTTTCCCCTTCACTAAGGCACAACATACTTGTACGTTTTGATTAATTTCGGAAATATTCTTCCGTTCACAAAATCAATTTAAATCGACATTAATATACACATTCTTCTGTTCAAAAAATCAATTTAAATCGACATTAATATATTATTATTTCCTGAAGAAGTATCGTACAGGCCTAGAGCGAATAATGGCTATCAGATTAACTGTATATAGATCAACAACCATAAATAGTTTATTACACTGGACGTCGGTTTGTCTGAAAGAATTCCACTTATTGGACAATAAACAGCGCTTCAAACCTGTTCACACGTTTCCTTCCGAGGCATCTGAAGAATCCCTCAAGTTGCGCAGAACAAAGTAGTCCGCTAGGAAATAATGCTAACGTCTACGACTTTTTTAAGTCCTGTAAAAAGGAACGTGAAACTGGGATTTATGGTCCTAATCGTGAGTCCAGGGGGGTCGCTTGATTTTGTCTTCAATGACTTTATCGTATTATTCTGTTACTCACCAGATATACCAAGGGTAGAGCCATCCTTTTTGACTGAGACACCAAACAACTCTTCCGCTGAAATAGGAGAAAAAAAAATCTGGATTGAGACATAAGGTGATGAAGTTGGTGGTTCTTGAATTTTTTTAATAGTTGGTTCGAAGAAGTAAGGGCAATGATTATATTCCTAGGTCTATGGATTATCATTTTCCGATCACTTTGAATCAATTATGTTAACTTAGGGCGTATCACCACCATTTTATGTAGTAAACCCAAAATAACGTCATTATCACCACCTCCATATTGAATTTCTATGATGAAAATTATTTATGAAAGCGACGAACAACTTTACTTCGATACATCTATCGATATTATATTTGGCTAGAACATAAGCTGCTCTGTAGGCCAAGATCTCATTGCAGACAAACGTTTCAACCTACTTTTCCTATTTAAATGTTGTAAAACAAATAAAGCTTGTACAGTAAATCCACTCAAGTTGTACACCCCTATATATTGGACATTTTAAAATTGAACTGACAAATATCCTATAATTTTACATGTCCGCAATAACCTATATCTTGGACACCCCTTTTCTTGTTGGATACGTTCTTGGATCTAGCTTTAATGCTTTTCGGGGAATTGAATTTCTGACTGATGAATGCCTTCTATCTGAAGGATTAGCTTATGGACATTGAACCTACCATTGGAATGCAATAAAAGTGTTTAGTTATTCTTTTGTTGAACCCTTCACTGGGCTACAGTATTGCAGAATATACAGTTTTAACTCCATCAGCACTGCGCTTGCATTCGAGTTCAGACTGTGTTAACAGAAATGGGGTTTTTCTTTTCGCCGAACAGCAGACAACTCAATCACCAATCCTCGTCATTCAACCCACACGCGCTCGTGCGCACGCGCGAGGGAATAACGAGAATCCAACTCGGCGCTCGGAAAACTACTCCGACGCTGTGCTGTTAAGTCTAGAACCAGCGAGTGGATAAATATTACAGCTGGCCATGACAAAATCACAGATTTATCAGTATGTAGTAAACAGTACTGTAAACTTACTTTATTCTTTAAAAAAACATCTGATTCATGATTACGCCCTCTGACAGTTGTCAAAAACCAAAGATAACAGTCCCATATTTGTAATAATTCAGTTGGTATCCCTGTGAGTTTCGGAGTTAACGGTGAGTTAAAAGAATCGACGAAAAGTTTATATAATGAAGTTAATGAGTTGCACGAAGTACCAGTTTCTTTAATAAATAATTAAGGCAAAGATTTCCGTCTTCTGGGTTGTTTGGGCCGTGTAGTATGGTAGATGTTTACCATACTACACGGCGCAACAAACCAGAAAACGGAAATCTTCATACTCTGATGACGGAGGCAGTATGACCTCTGAAACGTTGGTTAACATCGACCAGACTACACAGCGCAGGAACAAAATTTCAACGAACCATTAAATTTGACTGCTCGGAGCGTTATACATGAATACAGTTCAGAACTTCTTGGGTAGAATCACGCATATGAGCCCTGACCCAGAAATTGTGCTACGTTCCAGTCATAATTAGACTCAGACCCAATGATTTTCACTGATTTCATTACTTCTTAATTAAATACAAATTCATTCAAAATGCACATATAGCTGTTAATTAAACCAAAATGTCCTCCGTCATTTTACGGAAACAAATAATAATTGCCACCCCCACCCCCCAACTTGCATGAAAACATTTCTTTCGATAGATAAAGAAGTCACATGACAAACTGTAACACTCAGAATGTTTCGTAATGTTATGTCACCTTTCAGGGAAAGTGCAAATTATTCATGATTTGAAATTAAAGTTATCATTTCAAAAAACTAAGTGGACCGGAAATTATTGACCAAACGAGTTGTAACATGAGTAGCAATGCGCGCACTGAAGTAAGGATAACAGCTGAAAGAGTCGTAACTTACCGCTCTGAGATCGACTCCCAAGCCCACTTTGTTGTCCAGAATCAACCGACGTCGTTGGGCTTGAAGAGACGCGTTTGCCGACATCTGAAACTGAAGAAACAGTACTCCGTAAGTTTTCGTGAGTCCATGTTAGGGTGTTCTCTGTGCGAATAAAATGCTTTGATTAACAGTAACACAAAATATAATCATACCTGGAACACTTCAACATCTTATTATTATTTAGTGTTCTGTCTGACGACAGGTCCATATGAACAGGATCCTTCCATCCTTTTCTCGGACTGGGACCTGTTCATATACGTTCTTGGCAGATGATCCAGAAGTGGGTTGCCATTGCCTTCTTCTGTGTGCAATTACAACTGCGACATTTGATATAAAAAAGGTAAAGCTATCCTGTTACGCCTCATGTCGGCGATCAGGGGAGTGGAGGTTTAGCTCCTACTCATTCTCAACCTCGGTACTAGATGAGGGTGAGTGGTCAACATCACACCCTGTCCGCGCTTTATCCTATTTCTCCTTCTTTATCACGCCGTCTCTTTACAGGAGGTTGGCGACACTTTATGAACAGGATCCTTCCATCCTTTCCTTTTCTCGGACTGGGCCCTGTTCATATACGTTCTTGGCAGATGATCCGGAAGTGGTTTGCCATTGCCTTCTTCTGTGTGTGAATGGAGTAATTGTTGGGATGCCACGGAGGAAAACTCCGTGTTGCCTAGACCACGGCCTTGCCCAACATGAGTTATAAATCTGAGCACCACCGGGAATTGAACCCGGGACCCCCAGGATTACAAGGCTAGCGTTCTGACCACTAGACCACCGTCACGTATCAATTCTTTTAGTTCGAGAACAACACCAATTCATCCAATCTTGATCTTAATAATATTGTAACATTGGTCGGAATGTGTTAATTTATGCAAAATTTCACTTATTAATCTAATTACCCCTAATTAGGCCTAACTCTGTTTACAAAGTGCACACGGTTTAATGCAAATTAACGTAACTACTCCTAGTTAACTTCATTTACAAACACAGGAGCTTATATTTTATTATGCAAATTAACTGCCTTTCTTAAACCCCAATTTGTGTATAGAACGACGATCACGTCTTACCTAGGGTTTCCCTATCCCTTTAATCTACACGAAACACGACGCCAGGAGGCATAACAGCAGACTCCACAATATCCAGAGGATGCACCGACATCTCGGGCTAGAAACCGCGGATTTTGTGTTTTTTACGTAATGAAATAGAAATATAAACTGTGCAACAAAATTATTCGTACTTACTAAAACTAAGAAGGTACATAATACAGAAGATAAGGTACCACACATGCATTTAAATACCGGAAAAAATCTGAAAAACAATTAACTAAAACATGTTCAAAATAACATAGTTGCAGTAACCTTAACTTTTACGGAACGTAAATAATTATTCCCATTGGAATTTACGCGGGAAATCATTACGAAAAATATGCAGAGGGAGCCTTGGTGTGTGACCTGGGGAATGTCCGGTCTATTTCGCCACGGAGTAGAGCATCCATCGGTGTTGGCAAACTCCCGTGTGAGATAAGCCTGAAGGATACGTCTAACGGAACAATGCCCCCCCCCCCATCTGGGCTGTTAGGTATTGTAGTTAGGTTAGATTATGATGGGTTGGGTTAGGATAAGTTAATGTGCATTACGTGCGTTTAGAATTCAATTACGGATTAAGCCTATAAACATTGATTGTATATTTTATGAGAGAACTATTTCCCTTACCATCAACAAAGACGCCGTAAAACACTGCCCGTTAATTTCTCGTGTTTTCTACCAAACATTCTACAGTCCACGACTGTAATCTTGAGACTTGCGTGGTGAGAGCTACGGACTTCCTGCATTCCTTGCAAGTCTCAAGATTACAGACGTGGACTGTAATAAATGTTTGCAGATTAACCACAGCAAAAGACAAGGGGCAGGGAACGATACAAATGGAAGGAGACGACTGTCATTCGTAGTTCAACACGACAAATAAATAACAATAACAAATAAATAAATTCCAAAGAGTAAATTCTCAGTTCCTTTGAATTTTTCTGTATAATCCCACACGACAATTGTTATATACACTTACCTGAAAACATCAGTCCTCGCTATCTACTAGAGTAGGTATTCGAACTGATGACCTTGTTGGGTAAGAGACCCAACGACCATCAAACGCCGTCATCTCCCTCCCCACACCCTTAATCGAATATCTTATGCCATGTCTTTATTTTTGAAATGTCCTGTACTCCATTACAATCTTTTTACAGAGGCTGTATATACTCAAACCATAAAATGGCGGTTAACACATATCACACACTGCGGTGGTGCTGTATTTCCGGAAGTGCAAGAGACGGGGACGTTATGCGGGACTACATAACAATATATTAGAAGGCGTTAAAGAATCATGCTGTGTACGGCCCCGTAGCGCAAATATACAGTTGTAAAGAGTGCGCAACTAGACAAAAGTTATCAAATTTCGTTGCGTTTACATAAGGACGATAAGACGCTTATTTTACAGGGCGAATTTTGACATAATCAGAATCGGTAATGATGGAATTAAATTGTGTAATTATTAATTTATAGTTTCTACTAGCCTCATCTATAAATTAAGGCATTTAAAGAAAAATGGATGTCAGAAGTTCTTCGTGGAACTCTTTTTAAAAACACGCGTGTAATCAGTAACAAGTTACGTTTAATTTTCACTATTAAAATTCGAAAGAATTAAAATTACAAAGTTCTGCCAACACATGAAAGACAAACATCAATACGTGGGTACAAGCAGAATCCACAGATTAGACATCCAAAAAGCGGAATTCGACAGTTCTCTGTGCACATTCTGAATCCGAATATCTAATACATTTTGTCAGAGTCATGACAACGACAACATACATTGTTATCGAGTAATAATAATGTTAAGTACTTTTATTTATTATTTATTTAGTGTTCTGTCTGACGACAGGTCCATATGAACAGGATCCTTCCATCCTTTTCTCGGACTGGGACCTGTTCATATACGTTCTTGGCAGATGATCCAAAAGTGGTTTGCCATAGCCTTCTTCTGTGTGTGAATGGAGTAATTGTTGGGATGCCACAGAGAAACCGGGGAAGAAATAGGAAACCATTACTCAAGAGGACGGAAAGTTAAAAATTCAATTGATAAGCATTTAAATCGTAAGAAATGTAAAGTTAATTGGGCAGGTGCGATAAATGAACCCCCGATTATTGTAGGCGAGATAAAACTGACTTTGCAGGGTGAAGGATTAGGCAACAAATAAACAAGGACGTGAATCTAACACACCTCTTCTGTGGTTAACCTTCGTTCTCCCTATAACCCAGCAATGGATAACGATATCGTGAGATGAAACTTCTGAATTAAGATTATTTCCAAATTACTGCGCAATTGGCAGAGGATCGTTTTCTTCCGCGTACAAGCATTAAAATAAAAACAAATTTTCCGATGAAAAATAGGAGTAGTTCGAGCTGGGTTATAATTTCCAGTTGCCTTATTTTCAGGAAAGACGCTGTGACCACTCTCCATCACTTCAACTCGGGGTTTTACTACCATCTGTCGCTTCCTCAAAGAACGATGCTTACGATCCGCATTCGATATTAACCAATGCCTTCTAATAACTTGTAAATAAAATACGAGAAACCTGTGACATCGAATAAACTAGAGACTGATCACATTCTTTCTCGGAGGTTTGCAGTTCAAATCCCGAACGTCGTTATCCAGTAATTTCTGCTTTATATTTTATTTAAGAGGTCCCGATTTCTTACTTAGGTTACTGTGTTAACGTCTCAAAAGCACTCCACGGCCGAGTCCCCTCCATATCTCTTCCAAATCACCAATAACATTACTATCCTACGCTATGGGATCGCGTAGAACGTAGTTCAAACGGGAATGTTAAATAATCGAAGACCAAATCTCAGCTTTGTTACCATGTCTTGGCTAAGGCTTTTTGTGGTTTAACTCAGTCTCCCCCAGGAGAATTTTGGTATGTTAACTTCAAGTAGATGGCCAAATCATTCCACATCCGTATCTACTCAAGATTCGTCTTTGTATGTATTTGCAGTTCAGACAACATTGCAAAATACCGATTCTCGCTCGAATCATGGCGTATCCCTCAAACGTCAAACAATGAAGACTATCTTTGTGATTCCTCAACTATCAACAGAAAGGAAGTGTCACTAAAATAGAAACCCTTCTGAATGGGAGAGGGCGGATCCAGGGGGAAGTCTACCTCTGACACGTATACCGAAATCGTTCTGCTATGAAGAGGACGAGACTACAGTCACTGGAAAACCGCCAGCTTTATGCATACACACTAAAAACACGAGCCAAACGCTAACGAAAATATGTAGTTTAAACTTTTTCTTCATACTTCACAGACTTGCCTTCGGCTTGATGCCAATCAGTCAAAAGGAAAGAATGAATATCAGATGGTATCACATGGCAGCGCTGAATCCAACACACGTTCGTGACAAATTAAATCACTTCCTTCATTCAGCAACTTAGCCGAGCTCAGCAAAGTAATGAATGACGAACGAAAAGAAAATCAGATGAAATAAAAACAGTTCTAGAATGACAAGGCTACATTTCCGGCTTCGTTCGGTGATCATCCTGTGCGCGTGATGCCAGATTTATGTCAGGTAATGCGTGAATAATAGAGTGTGATCGTACGCACACAGTTTAAAAGTGAGAATATATTTCGGTGTTAAAATTACATCCACCAATCCATACGAATATGCTAAAGGAAACTGTGGACAACTGGAACTTTTGCTATTATTAGGCAGTATGACCTCTGCCTGTTGTTTTGTATGGGTGCGAAACATGGTCTCTCACTCAGAGGGAGGAACACAGATTGCAAGTGTTTGAGAACAGGGTGTTGAGGAGGATATTCGGGCCTAAGAGAGAAGACGATGGGGCGTGGAGAAAACTGCATAATGATGAGCTTAAAAATCTGTACTCCTCCCCCAGTATTGTCAGGGTGATTAAGTCGAGAAGAATGAGATGGGC